AGATTGGGTTGACCCAAAATGGATCAGGTGGGCTGTTTATTCTTCGTTGGTTAGGGTTTCAGAAAACCCTCTTCTACAACTCAACTACTCTTTCAGTCACCACAGACCACGCCTCACACAGCCACCACAAACCACAGCCACACCACCAGACCACGCCTCACCTCCAACGATGATCCTCCACTGCTGCCACCACACCACCAGGAACCACCACAACAGACCACCACCGACAACACCACCATACACAGTGAATGACGATCAACAGTACCACCAAAACAAATCGAGTTAATTTATTTTTTAAATATATTTAGGATTAAACATTGCTCTGATACTATGTTAAGTTTGAAAGATTAACATAATATTAGAGACAATATTTTGAGAGAAACAGAGAGAGGTTAAAAACTTAACATAACTCTCATACATCACTTGTATTTATAGTTAACCTACAATAATAAGAATTACATATTCATCCTATTTATATTAACAATTTACACATACTACCATACTATTTTTAACAATCACCCGCACCACTTCTCTCTGCCTCGCCCACTTTCTCTACAACCGCTTCATCAGTCACTACCTTCACCGGGGTTTTCACAATAATCTCCTTCCTTCACATAAAACTTTTTTGTAATTACTGATAATTTTTTAAGAACTGCTATAAATTTGATCAGTGTGGCTGTTTATTGAATATAAAAATAACATTAAGTAGATGGAGTTTAATATTTAATCATTAGATGGGTTAGGTGTGATCTCATCTGCTTCTATAGTGGTTCCCTCTATATGCTGCTATATGCTTTTAGTGCATACAAAGCAGAAATTACCAAAAAATAAAAGAAAATTTCTAATTTCATTTTACTGAACTGGGCATCAAACAGAAATGAATCTTGTATTGTTTAATTTGAAACAAGTGAGGCTGTTTGGTACTACCTTGTTCCTCCTAGATATATAGAATTTAGTATAATGATCTGAACCAAGTGGTCACTGATTTGGAAATGGTTCAGTTATTGTCGCATTCTGAAGAAAAAGCCATGATCCTGTTGAACAATTGCAGTTGGAATGGAAAAATCTAAATCATCAACTGATGGTCACTAATGGTACTGAATTGGGTGTTTTGAAGTTGAATTGCCTATAAGATGATGCTTTGAATCAATATGTTAGTTCCAACATTAGTAGCGATTGGAAAAAAATGGAGAGAGAAAAAGAAAGACAAAGGACAGAGGAGTTCAGGAAATATATTAGTGAACCATTACAACTTGAGATTGGATGATACATGACTGCATACCATTAGAATAACTCCATATGTATGTTGCTGGTGAAAATCTTTGAAGTTCTGTTTAAGAGCACCGAAACTTTGACTTGGAATTACAGTCGGCACTAATCCAAACTTAGGGTACTTTTGCTCCAATTCCTATGCATAATCATGGATTCCATGCTCTCAACACAGCGTAGGACGATGTGCCTACAGGCGGAGAGATTTTATGAGATTTGCTCAAGCAGGTGTTCAAATAAACCAGTCAAACATTTCGGTTATAAATGTATTTTCTAAAACTTGAAAGAGACTAGACCAGTTGGAATTGCTGTAACACTTATCCCCGATCAGTTTGTGATGTTCTAGAGTTTGAAAGGACATACACCTGTGATTTTCATTGTTCAACAGAATACCTCTCCTCTTGGTAATGTGCTCAAGTTAAAGGATGTGTGGTTTGAAAGAGCTCTTGAATTTGAAGGCTTTGATGTTCTTTAATGGGCATATGTCATCTTGCAGTTTATATATTCTCGGAAATTACAAGTAGCAGCTCGTAATCCTCTACAATAGACAATGCACTGCTTATTTTCAAAACAACAACTCCCTCTTCACCAAAGAATATCAAGTTCAGCGATGAATTACTGGTTCAACAAAGCACCTGCTGCAGTTGGAGTAATTTAGTTTGAAGGTTTGGTAAGTAATATTGTATATTACCTTTTATCCTCACATCAGTAGTTAGCTTAAGTTGGGACCTCACACTAATCTATATGACATGAGCCTAATTCGGATTTGAGAGACAGAATAAGCCTCAATGAAAATGAAATTTTGTGATAGGAATCTTTGGTATAAGAATTGCTTAGTCCCTGATTAGAGCAGAAGAACTCTCAAGGCATTGATAACTCTCAAACATGCAAGTATGACAGCAATTTTCTTATTACTTTATGATTTTTCTCTTTTCAAAACTCTATCCATCAGAATCAGTTAGCTCATTTTAAAAATTATCCTGTATACAGACCCAGGCATCTTTTAATGTAAATGTGAACTTTGGAAAATACGAGTGAAATATGTCTTTTATAGTTAAGCAACAATGATGGATTTGAACTTGGGCGCGCGCACACTCCTTAGGAGCCTCATCTTTGCCACTACAACAAGGCTCCAGTTATGGACTGTGCTAATTCAAGTGCTTAACTTTATGAAGTCCATCCAATTGGGGTTTTGGATACATTCAAGTAGAGCATGGTAAAATCCTCGTATCAGCCAGCTGTCTTACTCCGGGAGACACAACAAGTAGGTGTGAAGCCTTTAAAAACTCAAACAAGCTTTGTTCGCACCTTTTAACCTCTGTTACAGAAGTGGAAGGATCCGTTGGTAGTTTGCTCTCCTGCTAGAGTAAGTATACGCAGATTCAGGTTGCCTAAGTAGATAGAAGGCATGGAACTAGTGATTCCCGTTCAATCTTATCTTCCTACTATAGAAGGATCAACGCACGGCTCAGGGTTTATGACTCACGGAAATTGGCTATATGTCATGCCTAAAGTAAGAATTGGATGAATGCCGGCCTTGAGATCACTTACTCTCTCTCTCTCACACACACTCACACACACACTCTCATACCTAAATACACATTTTTTGTATTTTATTCAAATCATTTTATTTTCTATTTATCATTTATTTGTCTGATTTTTCATCAACCATTTCAGCTAGGTGCCAGTATCAGTCCAGTGACGGGAGTTTTACTAGCAGGACACCAATTTTCTCACTCATCGATAAAAAAAAAAAAAAAGAAAGAAAGAGGGATACCTCGATGGTACAACTATCCATGGCATCATCTGGATTTTGGTTGAAAAACTCAAGAACCAAATCACACGAGGATAAGGCAAGCTCATTTTATACTGGTCTTATGATTTGCAGAGTCATTTGTTTCAGAATTGATTCAGGTCCTACGGCTCCAACAAGAGAACAAGTCTTGTTACTATCTAACATTGTCTTAGCTTCTTTGTCAGATATTTATAAATCAAGGTGGAATTTAAACTGAACTGAACCACCTTTACAGTGACAACAGACCCTCAGTTTTATGGAATAACTGATACCTCCATGTTTCAGAAGTTACATATTCCTCACACAAAGAACCATTTCTAAACAAATGTACATTTTAACCACCTGGCCAAAGCCTAATTGGTCCCCCCTTGATTCTGTAAACCAAGCGGTTGAGAGTTCAATCATTGAGACTGTTTGAAACTGACTTTTTTATGTGAAAAGTTACTCTTTGAAAATTTTTTGCAAAAAAGCCCAAGCTACATGACCCTTGACAAAACTCCAAAAAATTGAAAAAAAAACCCATAAAATCAGTGTATTGAAATAGCCTCAACAAGTCTTTTTTGAGTCCAAAAATTTATTGCATAAGCTGGTTCAAAAGCTTAGGTCCAAACAACCGTTACTTTTTTTACTCCAAAGTCTATAAAATCAACTTATTTCAGCCAATTCTAAATAGACCCATTGCCAAAGATAAGATTTGACTACTTATTTGACTATGTCTCCTTCAAATTTTTATTCTGATTGTCATATTTTTCTTGCTGTTATTTCTGATTTAGCATCAGCATTCAAAATTACAAAGAGTTTTGATGGTGTATCGGTCTCGAATCCATTTAAGGGCCACCATACTTAAATCTTGCATCTAAACTCTTGTGACCAAAGCAGGCAGAGGGAGGAAGGTGTAACTCTTTCTTCCTTGTGACCAAAGCAGGTTCACTGATCGCTCAACTTGGCAAATAGTTATACCATCAAAGTCATATAAAAATGTAAGACACTACCATTAGGCAACTGAATGCTCTAAATACAGCATATGATTAATTGCAGCTAAATGTATACCGATCTTTCCATAATTTTGTTAAAATGTCAGTAAATTCTTTGTTTAACATATTTTGTTTTGCTCCATCTAGCAGAATACTCAAAAAGAACATGTATATCTGACACTTGGGTTACGAAGTAAGGTGGTATACTGCACGATAGCATTCACTTCTTGAAGCAGTCACCGTCTTTAGGAGTTATTCCCTTCGGGAAGAACATCCTTCTTTGTTCATGCGAAGTCAATGTGAAGGACCGATAGGCCAAGCCATTTTTTGGCTTTGACCTGCAAAATTTCTGATTCATGTACATTTTGTAAGGCTTGCGTTAGAAACCATTAACCTTTCTGCCAAAGCTTCTACCATTCTAGCCATCCCAAAACTTTAAGCTGACACACTCGAGGAACCCAATTTGGGTAGTATGATGAGCAAAAGATATACCGCTATGATAAACAAATAAGATGGAACATCAAGAGCCCAAAAAAACAGATCAACCAGATCTCCTTGTAGGAAGGACCAGGGGAGAGAGCTGCAAAAAGGAACAGAGTATGTTAGTATAACTTTGACTGCTTAACTGCAGCTGGCATTCCAAAATTGTTAGAAAGTTCAACACTCCACTATCTTGCATGACAGATTAGAACATAGAAAAAGGCTGATCTTAGAAAGCCTTTTATCAAGTTTATATAGTATCAGTTTTACAAAGCATAACTTCGGCTAGTGCTCAACAGGGAAGTCAAGCTTTCTTCTCCCCACAAAAGTGGAAGAGGGGGAGGGAACAACCTTCTTCAGCTAGTCGAGAAACAATATAGTCCACAAGGTCTGCTTTTCCATAGTGGTTGTGACATGCCTCCTTTTTTGTACATATATCTCTTATTATTAACTAACAGCTATGTCCCGAAGCATATCTACCCTTAACCCAGGCCTGAAAGTGCAAGAAGACCCTTGCCGCCACTGCCGTTGCCACCGACACCAAGTCTTTCCATGTCCATGTCCACAAAGGCAATCACATGCTCATTCACTGAAGACAAACTACACTTGTTCATCATTCATGGGTAGCACTTAACTCTTTCTCGATGTTTTATAGGGAATAAGACCAAGATGCATCATGTGACTACCAATTATGCATTCCAAGAAACTGTGATTGCTCCCACGAAAAAACCTCATGTGAGAAAAGATCAGAAAGAGAAAAATAAAACCTTGACATCTTAAATATTTCTCAAGAAAGCCCTAGGCATTTTTGCTCAGAAAGTATTACACGGTTAGATTCAAACCTACGTAACTGTTGGCAACCCTGATCAGTCAGTCCCAGTAATCTGATAGCTTACTCACATGACAGAAGATCATGCAAGAAACTTTTCGTGATTTCTGAAAGAATTAAATCAAGATTATTGAAACTACCAATGTCCATGGATGAAAAACCATTGCTTGCTTAATATGTAAGAGAGATTTAAACCAAGGAAATATTTCATAACTACCAATTTCTCAAGGACTAACTATCAAAGCTCGCAGAGGATATTTTAAATCAAAGAACTTGTGCTTGTCCTCTAGACTACCTCGAGAAAAACGCAAAAACAAAGACAAAAAAGAAACTACGCATTTTACATCAGACACATGCAATAAATTGATATTACATTTAGGTATGCGACGGGGATCGGGAATGAGTTGGATGGCTTTTTGGAACTAAATATCAGAATTTATAAATTCATTTTAATATTTTTGGAAAAATTTCATCGACACCCCCTGTAATTAGGTCTAAATTTAATGACAACCCCTCCTGATTCTAAAACTTCACTTTCACCCCCTATCAGTATTTGTCGGATTACAGTGTTAACGACGATTGTTAATTTACAAAAATATCCCTGAACATTTTATAGGGTAAATTTTATCCACCCCCTTGTAAATAAACATAACTTCAACGACACCCCCTGTAAATAAACATAACTTCAACGACACCCCCTGTAAATAAACATAACTTCAACGACACCCCCTCTGATTCTGAAATTTCAATACACTCCTTTTTAGTTCTATTATATTAACATTTAGATTCATTAATTTAATATTTAATTTTATCAAATTAATGTCTTTTATTTAATTTAAACTAAATTAACATTCCATTTCATCAAATCAACACAAATTAACATTTAATTTTATCAAATTAGTATTTAGTTATATTAATTTAATATTTTATTTTATCAAATTAATATTATTTCTTTAATTTAATATTAAATTATTTATTTAATTTCATCAAATCAACATCAAAATAACATTTAACCTTATCAAATTAATGTCAGTTATTTAATTTAACACAAAAATGAATATTCAATTTCATCAAAGTAACATTTAAATTTATTCAAATCAACACTGGATTAATATATAATTTTATCAAATAAAATTAATATTTAAACTTATCATATTAAGACCAAATTTATTTAATTAATATTAAATTTTATCAAATAATATTTAAATTTTATATATGGATGGAATTTCGATATTGACTTTATCGATTATAATTTTATTGTAGAAAAATTATTTTTATCTATAAAATAACTTTAAGATCCTATTATTTATAACGAATAACAAAAAACATACCACAGAGGGAACTTAGCTAATATAGGAAAATAGGAAACTTAAATGTGTACCTCTTATCCAACAACTTCTAACGGGTGTTTTGAATGAAAAAAATTTTAAAAAATTTGCATGAAAAAAATTTAAAACTATCTACATGAAAAAAAATTAAAAATATAAAACTGCATGAAATTTTTTAAAAAAATCTACATGAAAAATATTTACAAATCAGCCAAAAAAAAAAATTACCAACTTAGGTAGTGATCGATCACTGTGAAGAACGAGTTGAAGAATAATGACTGACTTTAGTCCCCTATTTTTTTTTCCAACAACCCCAGATCATTTTGGACCTTCACAAACAACAAAAGGTGTGGTATATATAGTGGATAAAGAGTTGAAGACATTTTAGTATAATTACGTAAGGAAGGGTAATTTTGACATTTTTAGAAAATTTATAGTCAAACCGTTACTTTTTGTATTGCAGAGTTAAAAATTACTGTTAAGGTAGTATCTTTGATTTGAGAGTATAAACCAAAAGGGGGTGCAATTAAGTTTCAAAATTGGAAGGGGGTGTCATTAAATTTAGACCTAACTAGAAGGAGTGTGGATGAAATTTTTCCAATATTTTTTTGTTATTTTCAATCTATAGGATTTTATATCATTTTCTAGGATTTCCGGAAAGTTATTCCCTACTTGTTTTTAGGGTATTTGGTTCCTTATACACAGGAATTGATATATATGCAGACTTTTTTTTTTTTTGTATATATATATATGCAGACTTGATTGATCAAATTTATTGAATATTGACTGTTTCTGTAAATGCTTCTCATTTCTGTTCTTCTTCTTATGTTCTTCAGATCTCTTTCTTAATTCTTCCCAAATCTGTCTTCCCAATCTAAATCAGTGAGTCAGCTCCTAAGTCCTAACATAATAAATACAATTTTCCAATTATGGCTGGCTCTCTAGAGCCGATTGGCAGACACTCTTGACAATAACAATATGCCCAGCAGTCTCATATATTTATCCTATTTTTGAGATGAAGCACCATATACTGCTTGTATCATTCCTTATACAGTGTTCCTTGACATACAAAGCTGTGGTTGTCCTTTTATGACCACCCTGCGAGGTTTCTACCATGGACCTAAGTGACAAAGTATATGCAACCTCATAGAAATAACGGATACATCAATCTCTCATGTCATGGAATTTCAAGGGCTAACGTTGTCAGTGTAGCCAGAACGGCCTAAGTACACATAACAAAAAAGAATTAAGAAAAGCACCATTATCTAATAACAAATTATGCAAAATCGTCCATCAAAAACTTTATCAGCAGATAGCAAGCAAACAACATGCCAATATAGTGAGGAATTACATTAATACCATGGTATCAGAAATAAGAATAGAAGTAGAGGAAAAAAACAGTGAGTAAGATCAAGCAATACAATCTAATGACACATAGGACCACTCACTTTACGCAATTATTTTCTATTTTCCGGGCCTTCAATTCCAAACCAATTATAAACTCTAGAAACTCGAAATAAACAAATTAGAGTAACAAACAAGAAATGTCTAATAAGCATAAAAAATTAACAATTAAATGACCTGTAGAAAAAATGGAGATTAAGTTAAACTTACATGATAACGATGCCGAGACTGAGGGCGAAGCAGATGGTGGAGAGACCCCTTCCCAGTTCCCCTTGTCCTGGTTTCGACTAGAGCCATAGGATACAACAGGTAAAGGAGAAAGGCCTGGGGACATCTGCGGAGTGGGGCCGATGGGAGGTGGATAAATAGAAGTACGAGGTGAAAAGGCTGGAGCAACTGGGACTGGATGAGATTTTGGAGAAGGGTTTGGTGGAATTCTGCAACCACGAGAGCGAGGGAAAGGTGTATTTACCATTGAAGGAGCAGGAGAACTTGAAATGGGAGGTAAAGAATGGTGAACATCATTTCCAGGACTTGGGGCAGATGGGTGGCTATCATCAGAAGGTGAAGAAGCATCACAATTAAAACAAGGTGGATAGCGACGGAAGTCTGGTAAGGGAGCTGGATAATTCGATGGAGAAAGACTCTTAGATGGGGAAATAGGGCGTTCTGCATCTGGAGATGGAGATGGCGCTGGAGAAGGAATTGGTGGGCTTCCATGAATTGTTTGATTTAAATAGGAAGATAAGCTGATCTGCTTAACTTTACCAAAAACCGAGTTATTGAGGCCAAGATTCTCCGCAGAAGGAGACCCTGTAATTGTTTGAGCCAATTGCTTCAATCTTTGTGGCTGCAGGTTCCCTAGGTCTGACATGACTGAAGCCTGAACTGTAACTGGGGGATCTTTTGTTGAGCCATAATTGTTTGTCACCTGCACGTACACATTCTGAAAGCAAGATAAAGTAGTTAAAGCTCCATATCATACTAAAATACAAGTGTGAGGGTGTCAATAAGTAGAATCATAGTGAAGTCCAATCATTAATGTCTTTTAGTCCTAAAAGATATTGAGAGTATGAGATATCCAGCACAAAATTATACTTTTCAGCTAATATATCCACTATATGGTAGCAGGCAGCAGAAAATATTACGTTGTTCTAACACACTGGTGCACGCACAGCACGCACATAGTTTTTTCCCACATTTTATGAAAATATAAAAAATGATCAAGGGTGAGTTTCCTTGCTTTATGAATTCCTAATGATCAGGATTTCAACTAAGATATATTACTTATGAAGCAGGGTGGGACCATGGTATTTTATCCCCCAGTCCTGCACCTCAGAATCTCCCTAGGTTTCTGTTTTGTAAAATATCACCAGACCAGCCCATTGACACCACCACCTTAAATATACAAGAAAGCCGAACAGAAATCATACCTCGTTAGGCCTCAGATACAACCCAAACTTCAGCTGTTGCTTCAACTCAACAAAATTTTCCTTTATCTCATTAATGGAATTATAGAGAGTAAAATTAAATAGGATTTGGGGTATCTGCCAAATGGAAGCATATTGCTCAGGGATTACGGTGATTCCACCTGGAAACTTCAAAATCTCAAACGAAGATGGCTGACCAAAAATGGAAGCTGTCAATGTCAAATTGGAATGTCCAAGAAACAACTCTATCAGAGATGACCTCAGCACACTTAAGGACACTGAATTTATTGAAACATTCCATGGGTCAGAAAGAACACCAACCACCACATTAGTCCAGTCAGATACACCTGCTCGGTGCATGGACAAGATAGCAACCTGTTTCAAATAGCGGGCTTTTATGTTAAATTTGACTATTTAACACAGTATGGAATAGTATGCAGTGTAAAAGTTTGCAGCAAACCTTTGTAGAAGGGACACCGATTTCCCCATAGATATCATATTCTAGTCTTGCCATACGAGGAATAAGCAGTGAAACTGGCTTTTGCAGTCTGAAGTATGCCTGAACAGTGGCTGTAAATGAAAAATGCCAATGATAAATAAAAAGGAGAATCCAAACATGAAAAGAAAACTAGTAAGCACATCGGCACAATATGAGCAACATTGGATGTGCACCAGCATTTTAATAAACTTGAAATGTTGTCTAAATCTATCAAATGCATCTACTTCACTTATTCATTAAGTAACTTAGTTTTGATCATTCTGCCAGCAGTTTGACGGGAAAAGTGCATTTTCTGAGTAATGGTGAAACTTTATCCAAAGTTGGTTGATGTTGGTCAGGCCAAATGTCCATACTCATGTGGCATAAAATGAAATCTACAGCGTACTTAAGTTGCAACACTTTGTATTCATGAATATGAGATGGAACATAGCCTTTTTATCCCTTTTTCATGCCACTATAGAGTGGTCATATATGTGCTCACAAACAAGAGAATCACAATGACAACAACAGACGAACCATGCATAGAAACTGGAACCGGATCTCGTATCCCTCAAAACTATGCTATATGAAGAATTGCGCTTAATATTGTATTATTGGCATCTCCATCCTGCACATACTGTTAAAAATCCTCATATATTGTGAAATAGACTTGATATATTAGGCTTAGGAACTACCTTGCTATAGACTTGATATTTGCAAAGCTAGAATATATATGTGGTATGGAAACTTCAACATTTGATTCATATAGACTTCCAAATCTAATGTTACGCTGATCTCATAGCTACAACATAACACTGAATAATTTATTGACGTCATATAATTGTAGAGGAAACGACCAAATAATGAAAAGAAATTCTTCAAAATTTGAGCCACCAAATTTGAACTCCGATGGCAAGTTGATATCAACACCATTAAATGTCACAGGTCATGTAAGCTATATATTGTAATCAAGTTTATTTATAATAGACAGCATTTCCCAATGTTGAAAGCTTTAAAAAAAAAGAGAGAGAGATCAGTTGAATGATCTGCCCTGAAAAAAATACTGCCCGATACTAGATCTATGCAGTTCAGCACAAGACAGAATGTCATTTCGCCCAAGCCTTGTCCCCACCCACACGTGTCAGCTAGGGCATGTTTAGGATTCTGAACAAATAAAAAATTAGCCACGTTTGATTCATGCTGTATATGAAGGTACTAAACCATTTGCTGCACAGCAGCCATCACCAAAAATGAGAGTAAATTGTACAGATTGCAATAAAAATTTGTAGTATTGTTGTTTCACAAGATTTGGAAACCGATTCTATACCATCAGATGGCTATCATTTTCTGAAATGACCACATTCTTAATGAAGGGCCGAATTCCAAGCAAAACGAAAAGAAGTTATATTACTCTTCATTTTTTGTTCTGATGACCTCAATAGGGATCAACACGGCCATCCCAAGGATTAAATACAGTTTTTGTCCTTCAAGTATATGTCTTTTGTCACCTAAGTCCACGATGTCTCAATTTTGGCAATTTAATCCTTAATATTTTCAATTTCTGTTTGTTGATCACACTAGGGACAAATTGGAATGGCAGAAAAACTATCTGTTTCAATTTGATGCAGCAGTCTCACAAACATACTCTCTCTCTCTCTCTCTCAATGGCAGCCACTCTACCCTTCCCCTACTCATTTTGGCAACCACCCAACAAATTGGAATGGCAGAAAAACTATCTGTTTCAATTTGATGCAGCAGTCTCACAAACATACTCTCTCTCTCTCTCTCTCAATGGCAGCCACTCTACCCTTCCCCTACTCATTTTGGCAACCACCCACTCTCTTCCCACACCCCTACACCTCTCCCTCCCTCCACCACCTCACAGCCACTCCACCACCAACCCCGCAGTTCCCCAACCCCTCCCCTACTCATCCCACAACTTCTACACCCCCTTGCCACCCACTTCACAGTGGTCACAGCAGGCCCAACCTATTGAAGCAGCCACTCAGGTTTTGCCATCAACCTTGTGGCCTACCTTTCTTGTTAGCCAAAAAAACCCTAGCAGTACACGTTGCCAACATGCAAATCTGGCATCCATGAACATCAACTTTGGTGTGCCTATCTTTTGTTGAGGTCCACTTACATTAAGGCTTCTTAGATGACTCAACGGGGATTTGTAGGGTCAAATTTGATCGGTTTGTGCTTGCTTCACCTATGCCAAAGATGATTAGGGATGGATAACATGACTTGAGATCTGGACTTCGGTTTTGGGGAAACCATAGAGGGTGGCATATGCCTATGAAGGTTTGTTTTGGTCTGGATTTCAGATTGGGGGATGCAGGGGTAAGGGGAGGCCACCGGGGTTGCAAGGGTGGGGGAGGCTAACGAATTTACATGCTAGAGAGATAAAGAAAAGAGAGGTAGACGGGTTAACCAGTCTTAGTCTGATATGATACTAACCCGTCTGGCTCGACTTTGATGTGAGACCCTTTTCCATAACTGTCTCATATGCCCCCCCCCCAACATGATTAGCAAATGAGTCAAATATGTTATCAATTTTAACGCAAGTTAAAAATTGGAACAATTAAACACAATTTTGAAGAATTAGGGATGAAATAGCCAAAAATTGAACCTTCAAAGACCCAATTGACAAAAGGCACATACTTCAAGGACCAAATTTGCATTTAATCCGCCATGCTAATGAAGCCACCATTTTCTTTGACTAAAGAAGAAATTAAAACTCTATCCAAGTGGCCGAAATTAAAATGGTTGATCAACTAGGCCACTTCAGAGTTCTTTGAACACTTGGTAAAACATGCATAACAACAATCCATTTTTTACTGGGAATAGTCTAAAAACAATAGCAAAAAACCAAAGAGAAGACCCAGTGGTCTAAATGATCCAAAACCCAAGCCCCTTCCTGGTTTTAGACAGAATAGTAGTTTTACATAATATACTTCAAACAATCACACGAGAAGAATTAAGTTGCTGGTACCCTAGGATTAAAGATGTCATACAAATGGCAAAGGTACCAGTGAAGCATCTTCCGTAAGCCCTAAGCCATCGGGGCCTGGAAAATTGGTGACATGTCAATACATGGACAAAACCTTTTACATAATATTACAAGTATAAAGATCAATTGGTAAACTAGAAATTTCACAAAGCAAAACCAACAGCCACGAACTGTTGTATGTCCTGACTCCCACAATCAGAACTGTAGCAATCAGTCTGGATAGGTAGCTTAATATAGATGGCGCCACAAGCTACAGTCAAGGCAAACAAAATTTGATGCGAAGAAAACAAATATAAGAAAAAAAGCTATCAGAAATATGCCATCGAGAAATACATCCAGAACCAAGCATGAATGAGTCCCTCTCTAGCATTATCTCCCTGATTTTACCAAGCAAAATTATCACAGAAACACAATTCATTGATTTGAGAACTAAGTCGTTCTCAAATACCTTGTAACAAGGTGCTGGGCCAGTACTTGTAGCACAAACAACGGCTGTTGTAGATGATTTTACATAAGTACGTTGATTCAACACGGATTTCAGAGAAGAAGACTCCTAGTTTGCTCACTCAGCATTATAAATATCACACTATTGCCAATTGGATAACTACCAAATATCTAACCAGGCAAGCGACTAATGTCAAACAGTGTTGTTTCCACTTTCCATTTAACTGTACATATATGGCCCTGATATTCTCATCTTGACAACATGTACCGTACACCTTCCATTCCCCCATATTAATCAAGCAATGGAATTACCACCGCTCAGCATATGTTTCTACTTCATTCATGCTAGTGGAAACAGGCTCCTCCCCTCACATTTCTATTACCAAACTTCCATCAAGTTAATTCAGCAAAACAAATTTAAAACTATGCTTTCCCTCCATTTCAATTATAATTCAGTTTCCCACAATCCAAACAAACCCTAAACTTCCAACAGTTTCGGGATAAGGAACCTAATAAGGATCCTACAAAACATGGACTGACAACCACAAATTCGGTTACCAACACTTCATTTGTTGAAAACTTTTTGAATTACAGAACGGCACCCTATAGTCCGACTAGATCTGTTACTCTATCAACAAGCTCAACAAACAACAATAGGCCAAGTAGTCTATTTATTCAAAGACTATATCCAGTCAGAAGAAATCACTATTGTACGCCAGAATGCCTCTAGACACCATTCCGTACATTGTATTCACTTCATATTTGGAAATTGTTCATAAAATTAATTTGTTACGTCCAAAATGTGCTCTCATTGTGAAGCCATATATAGATCAAAAAAAATTCAAGTTATATTAAGAAACATTAAAATAGAGATCAACAATTTGAAGTTCATGAAACCCCATTTTCTATTTGAACTCGTCAAAAAGCTTGATAGTTATGTACGCTATCATCCCCAATTAAATTTATAATATTAAACAAATCCAAAAATTCCACACATCACAAACATCTCTGGCATCTGCCCAAACATTGGACACCCTAAAATTCATCTGCTCAAGAAGGCAATATAGCACATACCCATCAGCCAAAGCATGGACCTACTCCAAAATAGCACTTGAAATATCAAAAACACGACAAACCCATATTCTAAAGTCATCGGAAAACCCTAATTACATTAACAATGAAGTAGAAAAAAGTAAATACTCATCTGCTCAAACCATCAAAACAAGGGTAAATCAAGGGAAGAAACACATACCACTGAGCTTGATTGCCTCTTTTGCGTCAAACCCAGATTGTCTAGAGTTTCGAGGAACGAGCCAAAACACAGAGGAAAGAAACACGGCCACGCTGAGTAACAAAACTACGACGCATTTGAAATTGAACTCTCGGCAGATTCTGGATACAACCATCGAACATCTCTCGCAGAAAATTGTTGAATCACCCTGATTTCGAGTCCCCTGTTGTTGCAGAGGTAGTCGATTTTCTGCCACTTTCCCCATTTCCAGAGCATCTGTCCACTTTCTCTCTCTAATTTCTCTAACAACACATATACCCAGAAACACTCTCTCTCTCTCTCTCAAGTTAAAGAGTCGACACGGAGTCTAATAGACAAGTGTTCATGGTGCGGATACTCAGATTCTCTCTCTGCCACTCTCTCTCTCTCTCTCTCGCACACACACGTACACACCAAGCTTTAATTGTTTATAGAAAAGATGGGTTTTTATGTAATGGATTGATTGATGATTTGGCTACCGAACGTTGAGGAGAAGCAAAGGTGGAAAGAGAAAGTAGGAGAGAGAAAGAGTGTGTAGAAGAATATGGGTGTGATTAGGAGAGTGGGTGGGTCATTGTCCCAATCACTAAAATAATAATTATTATTATTATAAGTGCAATGGTTTGTCAATTGTCACCCACACATTTTTATTTATTTTTAATCAGAATCACCCACACAATTCAAACTTCAAATATCATCATGCTCATTACTTATATGCTCTTTTTTTTTTGGGTAAATAATATTTTGTATGATAAATTCCATGAATAATATTTTATTTTGATATCTTCAATGACCAAGAGTTATTTTTTTCCTAGAT